GTTATTTCGCGTAAATACGGTAACTGAATTTGAAATGAGGGCGAGTGAAATGAGGCCGAAAAACAACAAAATTTTTATAGTTGTCTTTGTAATTCTGGGACAGCTGAATGGAGTCTGAATTATAAATTGAAGCATCAACCAACATCAGAAACTTAACGACTCGTTCGCTGGCAATTCCACAGAATTTATGAAACTGACTGTAATAACTTTACTATGTAAAAAAAAAAAAAAAAAAAAGAAAAAAAATTGTGGAATTGAGTTTGAAAATGAAGCGAGGCCGATATTTATATAGACAAATTATTAAAAATCGAAGACAGACTAACCTATTTATATACTTTTATAATTTAATTGACTTTACATTTCATTCAAATAAGATTAACTTTATTGTTTGCAAGAAATTCAATTATAGAATTTGCTAATTAACAGATAAATTATTTCTAAGATATCGATATTTTCGTGCCAACTTAACTTTTACCAATATTATGGACTTTTATAATTATTTTAATATTAGAATCTAGAAAATTAATCAATTTTTTGCCCACAAAATATAATAATTATTGGGAGTTTTTTGGAAATTATAAATAATTTATTTTACTGACAATAATAACTGATTATTTACATGAAAATCTAGATTTAAATCATTATGGTGACATTAACATACGAAAAAATGAGCAAATAAAATTCATAATAAAACAATTATTCTCATATATTCATTTTTCAATTAAGTTTTTTTTTCATTTTACGATATTAGCTGCAACTGTTTGGAATAAAATAAAAAAGGATTAATAAGAATAAAAATAACTAATAAATTAATAGTAAAGATAGAATACGAGAACTTACATAATTACTTGGAGCAATGCCAGTTGTACCATCGGCCTTTCTTGCATGCCACCATTTACCTTCTTTACTAGCAATGTCAAGGTAATCGCCTTTAACAAATGAGAGTTCGGTACGATCTTCGGGACTTCCATTATCTATTGAATTGAAACTTATTAAAAAGAATGGCAAGTGTAATAATGCATAAAAACATAAGAATTTTAATAATGTAATATAACTTACAATCAAACAAAGCTTGAGCTCTAAATTGATATTCGTCCATTTGATATTCGTCTATTACAATATTAGAATGCTGTTCATTTTCATGATATGTTGATTGATGCAAAGACGGAATAGTGGTTGAATTTTGATTTTGCACAGGAGTCTTTCCAAGGTAAGTTGTTTGAGCAGATGTTGAAGGTAAAGTAGCATTCGAATAATAATTTTGCATTAAAGTTGGTTGCATTGAAGTTTGTTGCATTGAAGTTTGACCGAGGTATATAGTTTTATTAGCTTGTATAGGCGAAGAAGTTTCAGTAGGAGAAATTACTACACTCATTTGATTACTTCTAACGTCAGAATTATACTTTGAAGGGGTAGATTGAGGGGCAAATTGAGGAATGATATTCTGATTTATAGAACCAAAATTTATATTGCTAAGGTTGTTATAAGAGTCATAATATTTATTAATTCGTCATTTTTGTTTATTTTTATATCTGAAGATTCTTACTTGTTGTTATTTAAAGCGTAATGACTAGAAGTGAGCTAAAGCTTAGAAAGAGATTAAAAAGAAAGTAAGGCGGAATGACTAGATAATAAAAAAGCTTAGATAATGGGTTAAAGAAAGTATGTAAATAGTAAGATGATTAGCGAAGGTATAGTTCTAGTCAAAGTAACTAGAAATAATCAAAAACGTGTAAAGCCTTTCCTTATTGAAAATATAAAAGAGCTGTCTTTTCGCTCTTCAAATAAAGCTTTAGACTTCAATATCTTTAATATAGGAGTATTAAGAATTGATTTCTCAGTTGTTGTTATAAGCATCTAACCTCTAAGTTTAACCTGTAAGCAAAACCTATTGATAAGTAAAGCGAACATGAGGTGTTATATACATTTATATACATTAAGAATGTTCCACAGTCAAGACAGAATTCGTGGAATGAATTTCCTTTAACGTCGGGGGGAATCTATCTAAGGCATAATATCATTGAAGTCATTGATGAAGCTGCACAGTTTCAATGGTCAATGATGTGATTAAGGTCTCGACTAGAGTTGTACCAGGAACATAGTTTTGCTTGCATAACGGAGTGTATGTTACCTGCCATCTAGAATGGTGTAAACAAAATTTTGCATTTGATTGGATAGCGTGATCATCATGATCATATTCACATGTTGTATGTACGTGCGTGCATGATATGAGTGTCGCCGAGAGAAAACCCGCAAATCTTATCTAGTAAGATTTACAGGTTTTCTCTTTGCGGCACTCATATACATGTGCCAAATCAAGTAATGTCCGCTATGCCCGATTTTAGCAAAATCTTGTTTTAGTATCTTGTGCCAAATCAAGTAATATCCGCTATGTCCGATTTTAGCAAAATCTTGTTTTAGTAAAAGCTATGATTTTTATTTATCCGTTTATAGTAGAAGTTAAGTTACAGAACCGTTATTGAAGCCACACGTGATACTTGTTGCATCAATGTAATTATTACATACTTGGTGGTTTGAAAGGATATTATATATAATTGCTACGCTTAATATTAAATATTCCACATTCCTGGTTCTAGCGCGACTGCGTCGCGCAGCTACCCCTAATTGGTGAAACTAATTAGTTTCACCAGGACCATCGGTGCACCGTTGAAGATTAATTTCATCTATAACTATCGGTGCACCAGTTTCGCCAGTTTCACCTGGTGCACCATTGAAGATTAGTTTCACCAGCAACTCTAGCCTCGACTAACTAAACATATACCATAAATGGAAGTAACTCTATCGTGTGCTAAAATAGGAATAGTGTGAATGGACCACCTAATGTACGACAGTGAAATAAAGACTATGACATTATACGGGGTAATTATAATAATAAAGATGTTAATAATAATACATTATAAGAAAGGATAATGATACTAATAAGAAAGGATAATGATACTAATAAGAAATAATACATGTAAAGAAATTATAATAAAGGGGCGTAGAATGTTACAGTGGTAACGCGGTCCTAAAAAGTTCGTGTGAAGTCGACTCAAGGACCGGGTCCGACAAACTTTTCAACAGCCCTATATATCTATTGATATCCGTAAAAACACAAACTCGCAATTCAATTTAAAACCTCCTCAAATTCGCAATTCAATTTAAAACCTCAAATTCGTAATTCAATTGAACATTTCTCAAATACTCAATCCAATTTAAAACTTTCCCAAATGCCGCAAATAGGCACTAAATTACTCGAACATTTTTCTCATGATTTTGCACAACTTCTTGAAACTGAGTACTATTATGATGTTATAATTAAAGTTGGTGAACAGAATTTTAAGTCACATTTTTTAATTTTATGTCAGCGTTCATCATTTTTTCGTCAAGAATTATCAACCGCAACTAAAAAAAATAATATTATCGAAATCATTCTAACTAACATTCCTGTTGAAGCTTTTAAACATTTAATTAAGTAAGTAATTTAATAAAATTAATTACCATTAGAAATTCATCAGTAAATATATATATGTATATTTTTATTATCGTAAAGTGCTATCTCAAAATTTTAAAATTAGAATAATGCTTGTGGTAGTATTGATGCTACCTAGTATCGTATTCTAAATACCAATAATTCAAGCTATTTTTAAGGAATAGCATACTTAATGAATTTAACATTCATTCATGATCTAAAATCTTCCTTACAGAAATATACTAATTAAAGATCTTTAAACTTAGATATGTTTATACTGGCACAATTCCATTAGAAAATATTGAACCATCTACTATATTTGATCTTTTAATAGCTTCCAACAAATTAGGCCTAGTGGCATTAGTTCAATCTATCCAGTCTTATCTTATCGATAACAAGGCATCTTGGCTTCAATTAAGATTTACCCAAACTTATTTAACCTGTTTTCAGGATAATAATTTTAAAGCCTTACAAACTTTTTGCACTGATATCCTTGTGAAACATCCTGACCTGGTTTTTGACTCTGATGACTTTACTTCTATTCATGAAGATGCGTTGATAGCTCTTTTAAAGCGTGATGATTTACAAATTGAAGAATCTGAAATTTGGGATAAGGTTATTCAATGGGGAAAAGCTCAAACTCCAGACTTACCTTCAGACTTCAATCAATGGACTAAAAAGGATTTTTTAGCCTTAAAAGCTACACTTGATAAATGTATTCCTTTAATTCGATATTTTCAAATATCTGGAGAGGACATTGTGGCAAAAGTTAAACCTTATCGAAAAACTCTTGGATCAGATTTATGGGATGATATTACGACAAAACTTATAGATCCTAATGCATCTATCTCTTCAACTATCTTGCATGCTCGTAAAACCATTCCCGATCAACTTTCTGTCCGCAATATTAACTTTAATAATCAATCGTCTATTATTAATAATGAACATTTTGCAAAAATTTCATCTTGGATTGATCGTCGAAAGTATAATTCTACCAAAATACCCTACGAGTTTAATTTACTTCTTAGAGGAAGTAAATGTGGATTTTCTTGTGAAACATTTCATAAATTATGCAATAACATGCCTGGCACTGTAGTTATTATAAAAGTTAAAGACACGAATGAAATACTTGGTGGATATAATCCGTTAATCTGGTCACCTAATGATAGTGATCATTGGGTAGCAACTTCTGATAGCTTTATTTTCTCATTAAAAACTTCATCTAATTCTATTATTAGTAGAATAATTCATCAAATTGAAGTAATTGGATGTTTTTCTTCTTTTGGTCCAGTTTTTGGTGGATATTTCTATATGTCAAATGATAATGAAACATGGTTTTATAGTCATCATTCTGATTATTATGAAAAACGACTTAGAGATAATAATGGGTCTTTTTTAATTGACGAATTTGAAGTTTTTCAAGTCTTGAAAAACTAATTTAAAATTTTAACCTGTAATTATGATATAGAAAACCTTCTTCAGATACATTTTTTTAAAACTAAAATACATTCAAGTTTGTATTATATTAATCTTTATTATGTATGAGTGTAAACTGTTAAATAAAAATAAGGTATCTAGAATTATTATCTTTGTATTATATTTGTATAATTTGTTTGACAAAAACAAATTGTATGGAGGCCGTATCGATATATTG